AGGCCTCTTTACCTGGTTGTTCAGGAATCTGGTTCCTTAGGTTGCCGTGTGGCGAGCGGCATTCGAGTCAGTACGCATTTCTATGTGTGTGTGTGTGTGTCGCACAACATCTTCCCACTGCGGTATGCTGTGTGATCCCTTTTCAGGGCACCGTTTGCAGGATGGCCCCATGCAGCTGCGTCTCCGAGCTGATCAATGCCACAGACTCCATCAGCACCCATGCTCTGTGTGTCCGCGTCTGTCATAGGCTTGGGGCCTTACTCTTCTCTTATCTTCCAGCAAAAGGGCAGCAGTCGGACCGCTAGCAAAGAGAATGCTCGTCATTGATCTAGGTGATACCGGAGTTTTCGACGCTGCTGCCTTTGGTTATACTCCCTCATCAGGCTGGTTCAGTCTGTTGATGAGGTCTGCGGGCAGATGCACGTGCTTGTTGGCTTGCGTGCGGACCTGCTTGCGAAGAAAAAATATGAAAGACTAAGCCTTGCAGACTAGAGAATAAACTGCCAGACTCACCCTCACTGTGAAGCCCAGAACAGTCTGCTAATCCAGAAGAATGTATGTATCATGCTGTTTAGACTTGCAGAAATGAGCACGTGTATGATTTGGTGTATGATTTGGTGTGTTTCAATTTAAGCTGCTTCGCTCTTTACTCTTAGATTGAGACACCAAACATCATGAAAAGGACACCACACCTGGTGATAAAATCCTTCTGCCCTGATAACAGGGTCTAGAATCTAGATAATTCAAGAAAATGATCCTGCAATGCTTCAATCAGTCAGAGGGAACCCAAAGAACAAGGAGAACTTTCCAGAAAAGAATGACGTTTTGGACAAACGTAATGTTTGGAACAGAAAGACTTCATGCTCCGTAGGCTCCGCTGTGCACGACGTTAGGAAGCCAAGGAAGCCACTAGCGCTTTGTCATCTGGGCGTTGAAGAAACTCCAAGAACCTGGGCAAGGCGGCCAAGGAGAAGAAACTAAACTTAGTAACCTTAGTAACTCCAAGAACCTAAGAAATGCCATGTTACCAGCAGCTTCTTGTTACCAGTAGTAGTGCCCTTGTTACTAGTAGCGATGCACCTTGTTACTAGTAGCTTCTTGTTACTCCAAGAACCTAAGCAATCCCAGCAAACCTGAGTAAGTTCATGTAAATTCAGTGCCTCCTTTGGATGTAAACGAGATCCTTGGAGAAGCTACCTGCGAGATCATCCACCTGTCGTTCACAAACAGAAAAACTCACCTGATGGAAACAACAAAAAAGGACTTGCCACAGCTTGTGGCCTCTTGTAAAGTCTCTCTGATGCCAAGCCTCGGTGGATCAAGGTGACTATCTTGCTCGAGGTTTCCCTGATTGTTGGATCTCTTGAGAAGAAAACTCTTGATAAATGAATGTAAACCTGAAAACCTGATTTATCAAATCTCAAGAGATCAAGTTTTTAATGAATGTAAGAATCTCTTGAGATCTGACACAAACAGTTGCTCCGGGCTCAAAATTGTTTGGATGATGTTCCTGCTGTGGTGGAGTTGCCTAAGCAACCCACAAATACGATGAAAGGCCCTGAAGCCACAGTGTGTGAAAGTCCTTGGCAAGGAGGAGCGAAAAAGGCACTTTTTTCGAGCATGATCGAAGCACATGCCTCTCTTGTCTCGTACGCTTCGGCGATGACGATGGTGTCGCCCACCTTAAAGAAATTGAAACGTAGGAAGGAGCTTCGATGGAATTCACGGCACAAATCCAAATGCTGTGCTTCTTGAATGGTTTTGGATGGTTTTGGTATCATAACAGTTGGGCCCTTCCAAAGCTTAATTTGCTTCCCTCCTCTTGTTGCTGAACAATTTGATTGCATTGGTTTGTGGAACTGAGCTCAGGGATTAAAGTTTGAGAAGATGTGCGGTCAGCTCACACCGCTCTAGGACTCCATGACTCGTCATGTGTGTCCCAACTTTGGTTGAAGATCGCATTAGGACAAGCAAGTTTCTTAGGCACATGTCCTTGATGCAGCATTCGGACAGTTCTTGCAGATCAATGTAGGTTGAAACCTTGTCCATGGTCCTTTCAAATGACGAACAAAGATTTTAGTTCATTCAACAGGACCTCACCTGGCCCTGGCTGAGCCTGTACTTGTCTAAGACATCACTTATGAGCTTAAGAAATGTGTTGAGAATGTTTAAAGTTATGTATTATCCCACGATTGCCGAATGATTGAAGAGAGATCTTGTGAACCTTTGCCGTTTGCACAGCGAAGGCAAAGGACTGGATGAGACACAAATAAGTAGCACACATTGAAACAGATGGTCACATCTTCGAAGCTCCCTTCCGCATAAACAGGCTTCCTGACTATATTCTTAAACAAAGCTTAATGAGTTGCCCCCAGTACAACATTTGCGCATGAGCAGAGCTGCTGTTTGCTCACACATCCGTCCACAAAATCAGATCCTGCCTGGTGGCTTTCCAAGTCTTCAACGTCCTAGGCTGCCAGTTCACCAAGTCTTTTTGGCCCTTTCTCAGCAACATCCCAGGCCTCAAAGAGTTCATCAGGCTCTTCATTCTCGCCCTCAGCCGCTTCTGCCACCTCTGCCACCTCTGCCACCTCTGCCTCCACATCCGCACCCGAGGGTGCTGCCTCTGCCTCTGGCACCGCCTCCTCGCCCTTGGCGTCTGGGACCGCCTCCGCTTCCACCGGCACGTCCGCCACAGCTTCGTCCGCAGCATCCGAGGCAGCTGGCTCGGACTCGGGCAGTTCCATAGGCCTCAGGGCACGGGAAAAACCAACAAAAAAGCAATCCTGGGCGAAGAAATGGCGGAAAAGACCTCCTCCAGAAGGCCACCAGTTCACGAATCGTCTTGAAGCAAGCCTGAAGAGTTTGTGTTCATGTGCAACATGGAGAGGGAGGAATTAAAAGGTCCAGCAGTTGTATGACCTGAAGCGGAAAGTCTTACCTTACAGTGACAGTTACAGGGTTGTGAATGCTGGATCAGATTCGCCTCCGCTGCTGGAACGGTCTCTTCCCCATCCTCCCCATCCTCACAATTTGCTGTGTCACATCCTACACATCCTACACGCTTCACTCGCACTGTCGGACACTTCGGTTTTTCGACGGCGTGTCCTGCACAAGAACGTCATGGCAGTTGTGGAAAGGTACTCCAAAGGAGCGGCTGAGGACCTGAGGACATCGGTTGTTCGGTGTCGAGATCCACCAACGAACCAAGAGAAGACGGCAAACACCGCGATTGCAAACACCAACGAATCCGTCCAACCTGGGCCGACTCGAAAAGCCAAGCTTGATCTGCTGCACAGGTCGAAGACTGGATCTCCTGCAAACAGGAAGGCAAAGTCAAATCGAAAGGGAGGACTTGAAAACTCCGATAGACTGATAGATGCGTCCCTTCTGATACTGTTAGATCTGATTCACACTCAACACTCAGTATGATCTGAGACTCTTGTATGCTCTTGTCTCAGCTTCCTTGCCTGATCCACACCCTGACAAAATGCACCAGTGGCCGCATCAAACTCAGCCGGGACCTGCTCAAAACGAAATCGGACTGCGGAAGAAACAGTTTTGCTCCAGTCACACCTACAATTCTTTACCGGACAGATAGGATAGGGATAGTGAGAAATGCACACCTGAATGCCAGGTCTAGTCTAGTCTCCTTGGACAAACCAGGAGCCATCTCCACCTCTTTCAGGATGGCTGCTTGTAGTGTGGCCTTCAGGCAAACAGCAAATACAACTAGAGCCAAGCCTCATCCAAGCTCGGCCTCATCCGGATACTGGAGCCTGACGATGCGAACCTGCCAGATGAGAGACTCGAGACTCTTCGGTTGCTGAGAGACTCTCAGAGCCGCACTGATGGCACACAGCTGGGATCAAAGTCTGCCTGACGTGAAGGACTGGAATCAACAGCCGACTCAATCCGGAATCAACAACCTTTACTGTAATTGGCGGCCCAGCCTTCCTGCCTGCTTATGTGTATATTATCACATATTACACACGCAGAGCCAATATCCCGAACATGGCGTGGTGAAACCGTCCGCAAGATACACAACCAACCGAAAAGAAAAACACATCCGCAAGACTTAAGGTGTAAACTCACACGAGCGCAAACAAACCCTCAATGCGGGCCACCAAAGCTGACAGCTGGTGAACTATTACCAGGCAAGAATTAACAAATTGGACCGCTGGCTGGTGTGACCCTGGTTGGCTATCCTGATCCAACATGGAACATTGGTTTCAAAGCAACCCATGTATGCTAGCGTCCACGTGGTCGGACATCTGGGGGACTGATACCATGGTACAGGAGACTGGCAAAGTCATAAGTTACTGTATTCACCCTTCGCCACTATTTCAATGCCAAGTCACCATGACAGCACTGTTTCCAAAGAAGTCATGCCCCAGTCAACGAAGGCAACAACTGAACGCTAGTTATAGAATGTTATAGAAAGATGTAGGTTTGATTGATTGACATCCGCTTGATGCCGCTTGCGGAATGTCAATCCCAACGCAAAGCTGTAGAATCGTTGAAAAAGGATGCATTGCGTTTATCGGTCCGAAGCAACTCGCCATCGATCCATCGTAACAAAATGTGCAGCTACAGAGTAACTTTACCGGTGTAATACACTGCATGTACTGAAGTGTGAATGATGGATTTGATGTCAAGCTTGTAGGAATCAAACGAAATATCTGACAAAGGCGTTTTCAAACGAATATATGTTTACATCGTTGGTAAAAGTCGAGTCGTTTTCCAAATGGCAACTCTGCATATGGCACTGGACTTGCCGTAGCAAATTTGGCAATAGAATCCATTGGTAAACGAACATTGAGCAGGTAGATTTGTTCAGGCTGAGATGAATAATCGGATAGGATGTTCACCACCTCTGCTGCATGTGGGATAGGCCTTGTCGCACAAGTGATGAGGCCCCCCTTGTTCTATTATATCGTGGATACAGTTGCAGCGGATGGTATTCTCAAGATAGCGTACAACTGCCCGGAAAAGTATTTGCTCGATTTGCTTGATGCCCCGAACTTAGAATGTCTTTCTTTTCAGCTGCATTCGATGTAAAGGCATGCGGGATTGACTGGTCGCTGTCCTTATCGTAAACCCACAGTGGCAAGCACATACCTGTGAAGACGACGAGATGAATAACACTGGTGGGATTGCTTTAACCGACCTGTTCAAATCTACAGCACTACCATGGCGAACTGCAACGGAATAGAATAGACGTGACTCCGCTGTTTCCTGTACCTGTGGAATCAACCCCATTGTGGCCACCACAGAGCTCCAGGCATGAACTGCAAAACTCACTATACCCCCGAAAGAATTAGAGTTTCACTGTTTCAAGTGTCAATCCATGATGCTCCTCGGTTCTGTTGCAACCCATGTCCCTTGCCAGAACCCATTTGCTGTTGAAGCCTCTAAACAACAAATCGCCGTGTGAATCGTTTTGAAGCCAAGTTTTTTGTTTTTTCCTTTAGACCTTTACACTCTTTCTCATTCCTTTCTTTCGTCCTTGTTTCACCTCACAAACGATTGCATGTTGCATTCTTGCCTGGCCTTCTCTGCCGCTTCTGCAACTTCCGCATCCTGTTCCAGGTGTGTGCTGCAAGCTAGCCATGTGAATAGCTGTTCCTGTGCGAATCTCCTCTGCTTTCAGAACCGGCGCCGCAATGTCCTCGATCCAGAACGGCGCCAGGAGCGTGCTCAACCGTGCCTAGCCCAAAATGGAAAGCACAAACGTCTTCAGCTGCTTCACCCGATATCCTTTTGGTACCACGAACGGAGGTCTCCCTTACCAACGGCTGACCGACTCTTCACCTCGCTCCGACTCTTCGCGTGTTCGGCCCGACCTGGTGATTCTCTTCGGCATCGTGGGCCTTGAGAAGAGTTGACCAAGATCCTTGCAAGGATGCCTTCAAGGGATCAAGATTGATCAGGGCTCAAGAATGAGTTCAGGGCACAAAAGCAAGGATATGCTTCACAGAAACAAAACCTTCACAATCCTTGACAATGATTCAGGCATGTTGCATCGAGTTTCAGAAGAGTTCAACCATGAATGGCGGCTTTCCGGAGAAACGCAGGGCAACAGATTCCTTTCCCACCAAATCAGTTGAGAATTCCACATTAGTTTTGTGAGATATTCTCGATCTTGGAATAAATCTATGAACCAAACGTATTATCTAGTCTATCAGTCTATCGATACACATAAAATATGTATGTATATATATGCATATGTATATCAAAGTCAACGGTTGGCACCACCCAATCTGGGCAATGCGGTTGCTGGATAGAGTCCGTATGGCCGTATGGAGCTATGTAAGTCAATGTTTGATGACTTCTGTTGTTTTTGTCTGGAAATTCCTCCCATGCATCATGCTTGAAGTCAGGTAAATCACAAGGGTGTGGCCTCCCAGCTGGCAGATTGCCAAATCTCACAGGGAAAGTTGAGGATGAGCACTCCATTCGGCCTGCGCCACTGCTATCAGCACGCTGGATGAAGCGTCAAGCCACACACAGATCGCACCTCACCGGCTCTGGTGCTTCTTCCTGCTTTTTGTCTTTCTTCTTCCTGGACGCTACTAGGGGCTCCTGGCCTTACTACTAGGAGCAAGGACGCTACTAGGGGCCACATGAGCAGAATCCCCCAATCCCGACCCTTTCTCTCGGAAAAGGGCTCCCATCGACAGCTGAGGCGCTTCTTGGGATCTTCTTCTTCCACCTGAGGTTTTTCAGGGCATCACTCATCACTTCATACATTTTCAACTAACCACCCCTTGAACCATACTCAGTTGGTGATAAGACTGGATAGAGAATCTCTCTGTATTTCACTTCAAGGATTTGCAAAATATATTCTAAGATTCTACTTTCTCGAAGAAGCCACGTTCATAAGCAAGAAAGCATGGTGGCAAACAAGCAGGGGCCGGTTCCTTGCAAAGTTCCCATGTGTGCATGGGCCTGCATGGGCCCGCACGGGCCTGTGGGGTCACAAGCGTGCACAGGAGGCTGAACCACTGCACAGGCTTTTGCTGGAGCAAGTTTGCATGCAAATTCCAACGAATAAGTCTTTGCAGGTGCCACTCGGATTGCAGTGGTTTGGGACGTCCACCTTTTGATTGCAAGCAAAGAAGTATTTCTGCTCAGCACAGTGAAAGCTGCTCCTGGTGCGAGTCGGTCAAACCAAGAGTCATATTGGCCCGGTTCAGGCCGCTCCACGTGCCCCACGCTGTCCATGATCTGCTTTGCTGTAGGATTGGCACCAGGTAGACTTTCAAGCAAAACAAGAATCCAGAAGCCAGGACCTTCACATGCTCAAGAAACTCAAGAGGTTCATCGGACCAGTCCGGAACGAAGGTCCATGGACTGGAGGAACGCACGTTGCACCTCCTCCCCGGAGCTCTGGGAGCGGCATCAGCATAGTTGGAACCGGTTAGGACAGTGTGTAAAAGTAAACTTCGAGCATGCTGCCAATAAAGGTAGCTTGACATCCTGATTCACACTGAATAGGCAGCAACTGAAAAAAAAAAGCACTTTGCTCGTACTGTCCCCTTCCAGCAAAATCACACAAAAGCTGGGTCAGGACAACTGCACAAGAGGCGGGTTGAGATCTGCAACAAAGCACCTCCAAACACATCCCTGTCCCCCCAATGGTTTTCACAGGCATCATACAGATTCTGGCATGCACGCCATACACACTGACACTCTTTCGCAGGGGCCTAATGCATAGTCAGATTGACATGCTGACATCAACGTGAGTGGCAGAAATTGGACGATTGGAATGCATTCAAGTCCAAAACCTTTGGACAAGTGTGCTCTGGTCAGTAATGGATACGTCAACTTGCCAGACATGTCTTGAATGGAGTGAAATGCCACATCCGTGCTGTCCCAACAAACTTTGCCGAATCAATGTGGTAGTAACCTCCTGACCACACTCAAACAATGGTTGGACACAATTCAAATCAATTGAGTCAAGCTGTGTAAAGGAAAGCTGAGCACTGCTTTGAATCGAATCATGAAATTAAACAGTTGTATGAACAAGTGTTGGCAAAAGACGCTACTAGGGGCTCCTACTAGGAACAAGGGCCTTACTAGTAGGAACAAGAAGCTAGTAGAGACAATAAGTAGAAACAATAAGCTACTAGGAACAAGTGCATCGCTACTAGGAGCAAGGGCCTTACTAGTAGGAACAAGAAGCTAGTAGAGACAATAAATAGAAACAATAAGCTACTAGGAACAAGTGCATCGCTACTAGGAACAAGGGCCTTACTAGTAGGAACAAGAAGCTAGTAGAGACAATATATAAATAGAAACAATAAGCTACTAGGAACAAGTGCATCGCTACTAGGAGCAAGGGCCTTACTAGTAGTAACAAGAAGCTATTAGAAACAATAAGAAGCTATAGAATTTAATTAGAACAAGTCTGTGTTGGCATCTCAGAACCCGGCTGGCTTCGGCGCCGGTGCAGAGAGCAACTGGGGCCAGCTTTTGGTGCTGAACTGTGGGTCAAACTGTTCGTGTTCCAAGGTTTTCAGCAAGAAATTCAAATCAAAGGAATGTAGTAGCGTGCCAGGAGCCCCTAGTAGCTTCTTGTTCCTAGTAGTAAGGCCAGGAGCCCCTAGCAGCGTTCTTGCTCCTAGAAGCGATGCCAGGAGCCCGTAGTAGCTTCTTGTTTGCTTGCTCTTCCACCTCAATCTTCCGAAAGATCATCTCTGCCAGCATCGCATGCGGAACCCCATGGGGCCTAGCTTCCCACAAGAACAAGGTGCCAACTGGTGAGAAACATGTTGACATCTTTCAACGGTAAAGTCCTTCTCTTCACTGCTAGTAACAAGGGCATCGCTACTAGCAACAAGGGCATTACTACTAGTATATAGCTAGAAGCTACTAGTAACAATTCAGCATTACGATGTCCAAAAGTCCTTTTCTCAAAACCCCTCGGCAAAGATGCCTCAGTGCAAGTGCTTCTTTGCCAAGCTCTCGCATGCGAGCCAGAATTGGCCAGTCTGGCTCCTTAGCAGTCAAGCAATTTACACAGGCCATCCTGCTTACCTGCTTGTCATTGGCTTCTCTCCCTCCCTCCCTCCCTCCCTCCCGCTCGCTCTCTCTCTCTCTCTCTCTCTTGCCTGTGGAGGCTTTTCAGCCAAAGACATGCACTCACTCACCACCTGCACGTGAACCATATCAGCAGACAGAGAGAGAGCCAGTGAAAGTCACCAACGTGTCCAGCAGGGCCTCGCCCGGCTTGATCATCGAGAAGCCAAACTCCTCTTATGCCAGACACAGTTACAAGCTGTGGAAAGAATCCTCTACCAATGGTGTTAAGATCTGTCATTTCATTGGGGTCTCCAAGCGCAAAAGCTCACACTGACTGAGCCTGACTGAGTCGCTCCGCCAAGGGAGCGGCAAAGGGGCTTTGACCTGCAAGCAGCTTGTAGACAAGCAGCTTGTAGGCTCTCAGACTCATACGCAGGAGTTGCCAAATTGACAATAGGTGTTCGGAAGACATTCTCTATATTCTGCTCCCAAAAACTTCTGTGTACTTTGTTGCAACAGGTAGCACATTATTGTACTGTACTGCAGCTAAAGCACCCTTGTGCTCGAAACCGATCCCTAATTATCCCTAGACTTCCTCGCCAGTCTGTTCCTTGATTCGCGTCGCCTGAGCAAAGTCCTGCTGGATTGCCAGCGAGAGCTACCACTGGCAAGAAGTCTTTCGCTAACTGTGCCTGCACATTCAAAAGGCCCTTGACGCTTCCGAAAGTCCTAAATCTTCCAGCTGCTTGGAGACTTGAATCCAGCTGATCAGAGAGCATTTTCGAGGTCGCGTCACATAAGCTTGGAAAGGTTGAGGCAGTTAGATCTGAACTCTGGCGGACTTGAATGGACACACAGATTCATGCAACATTAGCATAAGGGGCATGTCGTGTTTTGTGGTCGCAAGATCTGGGCCTGGGCACAGATAGATAGAAACAAGAAAAACTCACCATGACGTCCTTTGCACATGGCAATGAAAGGGGCATACTCTCTTGCATGTGCTGTGTAGGCAGCCCTGAAATGTTAAAGTAGGTTGCTTCCAAAAGATTCAATCCAACTGCCATCTAAATGAGTTCAAGCACTTGGCACCGAGGCACCAAGCACCTTGCTAAGCACATAAACGAGTGTGCTGAAAAGCAATGCAAGGACCTTCTAGCGGATTGGTTTGATCCGCCAGGCTGGCCACATGCCCCTTTGGTTCAGTCTCGATTAGTCATTCGGCAGGTATTTTACAGGTGCCACTAAATGGGCGGAGCTTTGGCAGCGAAGTGTTAGAGCATGTTTTGTTGCACCTGTTGTGACATGTTTGTCTCACGCGTCACCAATCTCTCCAGAGCAATATTACAACCTACCGTCTTGGAAGAGGGACGATTGTTAATCAATACTTAATACTATAATACTGCTTGCAACAGAAGAATCGGCTGCCATGCTGGACACTGAAAACTGGCATTGTCGGTCCAGCAAGTGATTTCACACCATCACGGTCACTGGGTCACTGGGCTGATCAAATGACGAGACATGTCAAGAGGACGCTGCAAAAAAAACGGATGGTCCCCTCGTGCCAATTTGAAGGCCTCCAGCCCAGGACCCCGCAGGCTGCGATGCCATTACATCTGCAGCCTTTCTAACTCAACTGAGGCCTGCGAGGCCCCGAAGAATAGGCAATTACATCAACGAAAAGAATGTCCCTGAAGATTCCACACTGCTTTTGATCAACAACAACTACGTATATAGCTCTTCGTTTTTTGTGTCAAGGCTCAAGTTGCTACTACGGAAGGAGAAGAACAGACTCTGTGTCAACAAGTCAACAGACTCTGCGTATCTGGTGCCGAACATTCAGAGACGGGACGTGTGTCAGCGCAGCCGTCAGGCACCCTGGACATTCGCATCTGTCAGCGCCTCAGTCAGCACCGCACCTCAGTCAGTGCTTACATCCATCACAGCCATTCAAGCATCGGTGGCCCTGAAGACCATGCAAAATTGGCTGGCATTTGTCGAGGAGTGGGTCTTTCTTCCTGCTTTTTGTCCTTTTTTGGTTGCCCTCGCAAAAGGTTTCTCGAACATCAAGATGCAGCGCCCTATGGGCCTCTGAAAAGCATCTCGGGGCCGGAGCAGCCACCATCCAATGATGGCGTACACCCCGAATTACTTCGTGCACACGGGTCGGAATCAAGTCAAAACTGTTTTAAGAAGCAACAAGTGCAACGATGATCAAGTCTCAACATGTCCATACCAACTCGTCACATGAATCAACCCCAGGATCTAAGGTGACACAAGTGCGAAAATCTTGCAAAATGGCAATGTGCTTCATCGCCAAGTGCATGGCCAATTTATAAAAACTTGCTTGAATCTTTGGCAAACTCCTATACTCTCAGATGGCCAATCCTGTTGAACAACTCAATGTGGAAAATAGCTGAGAGATAGTGAACATTGCTAGACAAGCATAGTGCACCTTCAGAGGCAAAATGTTCACGGCCAAGAATCCATGAAATTCATCGCTGAAGGGTGCCGTCAATCAATGAAAACGGGCCCCGGCTGTTCCAAAAGAACACTGCCGGGCTCCGCCATCCCAGAATCCTGGGCACCCTGCCACCCAGATGCTGTGCATGGGCGACAAAGTTTGAGATCTGGGAAACATAAGCTGGGAGCACACGAACTGTGAGTACTTCCGAAGAAACCCCCTTTTGAGGGCCCTGTGTTCCATTCCTGGAATCAGGGAAAACTGCCAGATCCAGCCACATAAGAAAGCTGTGCCACGGCTCAGTCCGAAAGCTGCTAGCTTCGTTGTGCTTCACTGCTTTACCCTTTGAAGCTTTCATAGGCGGTCATAGAGACACTAGCAGAAATGGCCCGCAATGAGATTGGGCCCCAACCAGCCCACAAGCCCTTGATCCCATGGCTCCGTACCACACTCATCAGCTCAGAGCCCAGCCCCGGCGCTGCGGGCGTCTCGGCCATTGCTCTGGCCTGCACACGGGTCCTCAACACATCCAGCGGCAAGACCACAGCCCAAGTAAAAAGCGCAGCTGAAGCGCCTGCCGCGGCGGTGTGAAGAGAACTTTGTGGCATCATCTCCCGAAGAGTGCCGTAGGTGCCAAGGAAAGAGGTTGTGTAAGGTATCTGAAAAGCGATCGATGCTTTCATTGCTTGCCTCATAGCAGGCAACGTCGCCAAGCCGGATTGTGACTTGGAGCCACCACCCACAGTGCGAAGAAGTGATTGGAAGACAGTGGTGCTCTCCCCAGACAAAGGAGTTGCGGGTTTGCACTGCATCGAAATCTTTGCCATGTTGAAAGGACAAGCAATCAAAGCTCCCACGAAACCAGCCAGCAGTCCACCACAATACGAGCCTGTTCCTGGAGCCCACTTGGTGCAGCACTCAAAGGCTGCAAACTCCACAGGCTGCTTCAGGAGAAGGCACAGGAGCGGCAGTGAAGCTCCTCGGTAGAGAGAGCTATGCAAGGCCAAAGGCCCACCGCGCCCAAGCTCTTGCAAGCAGTGCCGGGAGCTCGGATGGAGCTGCAGCTGCAGTCTGGTTTTCACGGTGTCAAATGGATATCCCACAAAAATGTTGCAACAAGCGAAGGCTGCGCCCGGTAGCATTTTGGATGCTGCTACCTTTGCAGCCGGCGCCACTGTCGCGGTCGACCAAATCTCATAGCTGGAGGCGAAATGAACGACTGAGCCAAGTCCCATATGCGCGAACAACTGCTCGAGCCAAAGTCGCCTGCACATGGAAGTTCGAGCCAATGCGTGTCGGTCATCGTTGATGTTCAAGCAAAATTATGCGTCTTGAGCTTGTCGAATCATGTCGGGTATGGCTCAAAAAGAGAAACCCAGAAAATCATAAACCTCATATTCATGTTGCCTTTTCCAGTTTGGAGGTCCCCTTCTTTTGAGCCATAGCCGGAATCTATATATATATATTATATATATACTGTATATATTGGCAAAAAATCACTTTGCGTGTCTTTTTCTGGTCCAGCTTAGAGACTGCTTTGGCTTGGTGTCAGACTCAAGATTTGGTCGCTGCCCTTCTCAATTTGGGCTTTGACCTTCACTGCAAATAGAAATGCGTTCCCCTAAGTGTTCCCAACTTTCTCCAAATACAACAGTACTTTGTTCAAACCTCTCTCGATTTGGAGCCTCGAGTTGGCATTGACGGAGTCCTCAATCCTGGCATGGGGCGCGTTACGACGAAGACGAGCGCACAGGTGATCGCCAGTGGTGAGCTGAAACTGGGCAAGAACCCGCCCCGCCTGCTGGTCAACTTTCCCGGAGGGCACGAAGAAAAGTGTTTCTGTCGCTGAAGGCGCTCATTGCTTTTCACCACACGTGTCACTGATTTGAGCAAATGCTCACACCTGGGCAAAGGATAACACAGTACCCAAAACACAACTGTTGAATTGACGAATGTTTGGATTTGGATGCCCTTCTGTACCGTCACATCGTCCATAGGCTAAACATACCAAATGGTTCTTTTTCTGCATCTGGATCCCAAAAGCAATACCCGGCTAGTCATTTCCCAGCAAAAACTCCCACCTGCGGCAAACAGCATCGACCTCAGCCTTCGTGGCATATTTGTCTCTGGCCTGCGCCTGACGCTCTATAGCCAAGCAGCTATAGCAGGCTTGGAACAAGAGAAAACAAACCAAAACATCGATGGAACATCTCGCTATTCCTCGTCAAGGAAGCTTCGCACGAAAACCTTCTCATGCCCACTCCAGTGCCCACTTGAGTGCTCGAATGTCCGCGCCTTGGGCCAAGCAGATCGACCAGGCTTGGCCTTTGGACTGGGGCTCTTCGAAACCACCAGGCTCGGAGTCTTCGAAGAGAAACTGCCCAAGCTTTCTGAGGTCTGATTCCTCACAAACAAAAGGCACACCGAACAAGGTTCTTTTCCAGGCAAATGTCTTGCAATGCCTTGCAGTCAGCACCTGACTTGAACACAATTGAACACCAAGCAGTGTGGGCAGTGGGGACCACACACCGTCGCCCTGCACTTCTTCCCCACCGTGTCCTTCGTAAGTCACCTAGCCATGCCAGCGAGTCAGACGTGGACCTGGCGCGCAGCAAAGCCTAAAAGCGAGCCCTGCGTTCGGCGAACAACCTCTACAGCCTAAAATCGATCGACCCACATGGGCTCTCTGTAGTGTTGCTAATTGTTACTAGGAGCTTCTAGCAACTAGTAGTAATGTCTTTGTTACTAGTAGCGGCGCCCTTCTTACTAGTAGCTTCTTACTAGTGGTACTGCTCGTGTTACTACAGTAGCAAGGCCCTTGCTACTTAGTAGCTTCTCGCTACTAATCCCACCTGATGCGAGATGTTCTTCACGTGGGTTCCACGTGATGATATTATTGTTCGACTTTCACAATCGCATTCCACAACAGCACGAACCACATGCGAAGGCGAACAAGTTGTTCTTTGTTAGGCTGTCCCAAACCTGGAACGGCAATTGAATTGAGTTCTTGCTTCGCATTGTTCCAGCTTCTGCAAAAAGCTTGCGCCAAAACATGTGCTGTTGCTGTTGAGTGCTGTTTTCTTTCGGGTCCATGTCTGCAACCGGGCTTTGCACTACCAAATTCCTGCACCCAGCAGTGGTTTATCCAAGTATATATGTTTACATCAATTGAAGCACACTATATCCAGGGCAAATCTCACGGAGTCAAACGTTTCCTGGTTGACGAGGCTG